GCTAGACTTGGCTTCGTTTGACCTTTCCATCTGATTCTTGAAGCTTTCTTCCTTTATCTTGGTTCTAGTATAAGAAGTGGCACGTGTTGTTTGTTCTTCAACTTGCTTGTACTTATGTTTTTCTAAAACACTAACACACATGTTAGAAATAATAATATGTGTTATATTTGTCTCATTCAAAACTTTGTTGGGAATTACTTCGTCTGACTTAACATAATTCTCCCAAACTTGGAGGTCTTTAATAAGAGCATAAAGCTCCTTGTCATAGGTGGGATAATTCAAGGTGGTCCCATTAAATTTTTCACTAAAGTAAGCAATGGGGTGGCCTCCTTGAAGTAACACGACACCTATGCCAAAACCAGATGCATCACATTCTAGCTCAAATGTTTGAGCAAAGTTTGGGAGGGCTAGAATGGGTGCATTGGTGAGCTTTTCCTTAAGATCATTGAAAGCTTTTTCTTGGGCTTCACCCTAACTGAAAGGAACATCTTTCTTAATAAGCTCATTAAGAGGGGATGCAAGTGTGGAGAAATCTTTGACAAATCTTCTACAAAAGCTTGCTAAACCATGGAAGCTCCTCACATCTCTAACACTTTTTGGGGTAGGCCAATCTTGGATGACTTTTATTTTCTCGAGGTCAACTTGCACTCCCTCTTTGCCAACTATAAACCCAAAAAGTTCACATTTTCTTTACAAAAGGTGCATTTGTCTAAGTGGGCATAGAGGTGGTTGGCCCTAAGAATTAGGAACACTTCTCTTAGATGTCCAAGATGCTCATCTAAGGATTTGCTAAAAATTAAAATGTCATCGAAATAAACAACTACAAATTTTCCTATCCAATCCCTAAGTACATGATTCATGAGACGCGTGAAGGTGCTAGGAGCATTGGTGAGACCAAAAGGCATCACTAACCATTCATACAAACCAAACTTGGTTTTAAAAACAGTTTTCCATTCATCACCCTCTTTGATTCTAATTTGGTGATAACCATTCTTAAGATCAATTTTGGAGAATATGATGGCCCCATGTAATTCATCCAACATATCATCTAGCCTAAGGATTGGGTTCCTATATTTTATGGTGATGTTATTTATGGTTCTACAATCCGTGAACATCCTCTATTTTCCATCCTTCTTTGAACGTAACCCTTCTTCAATAAGTCCTCAACTTGAGTTTCTATCTCTTTGGTCTCTTGGGGGTTAGTCCTATAGGCGGGCCTATTTGGTAGACTTACACCTGGAATGAGGTCTATTTGATGCTCTATTCCCCTTAAAGGTCGAAGTCCACTTGGAACCTCTTGGGGTAATAGGTTATCAAATTCTTTCAAAAGTGTTTGGACCTCTTGAGGTAGAGACTCAAGTTCATGATTAGTGGCAATGAGTGTCTCTTTGAAACAAAGAAGATATAAAGGTTGTTCAAGCAAGAGTGTTTTCTTAATATCATTTTTGAGGGATAAGTGACTCTTGTGAACAACTTCTTTAGAGGGCACACTTGCCTCTAAACTTGATACCATATTTTCCTTTTCCTTAGTCCATGAAAGAGGACCCTTTTTTTTTCTTTTTTTGATTTTTGTTTTTGTTTTCTTTGTTTTTCCTCTCCTTCCCTCTTAGCTTTAATTTTGATTTGATCCTCTCTCACTTGAGAAGGTGATAGAGGACACAAAATGATTTTTCTTCCCAAGTGTTGGAAACTTATCTTATTGGTGAGGCCATCATGGATTGTTTTCTTATCAAATTGCCAAAGCCTCCCAAGCAAAACATGACTAGCCTCCAATGGCACTATATCAGACAAAACTTCATCCTTATATTTGCCAATAGAGATTGGTATGTTTTCTTGTTGGTTGACTACAATTCCTCCTTCCTCATTAATCCATTGCAATTATAAGGTCTAGGATGGGATATTGTAGTTAAGGCTAACTTCTCAACCAATCTAGTGCTACAACAATTGCAACTAGACCCACTATCTACAATGAGAAAACAAGCATTTTCTAAAACCTTGCATCTTGTGTGAAATAATTTCTCCCTTTGAAATTGGTTAATATTACTAGTTTGGTTTTTAAGAAGGCTTCTAACCATGAGTAAGTCTCCACTACAAGGTAAAATTTCTTCTTCCAAATCTATGGCTTCATCCTCACTACTTGAAGTAGAAGAAGAAGAAGTGGCTTCATCAAGGCTACTATAGTGGTATTAGAATCTTACAATCCTGGTTTTCTTTGTGGGACATTGAGAAACAATATGTCCCCTTCCAAGACACTTGAAGCACTTGATATCTCTTGAATTAGATTCTTTAGAAGGAGCCTTAAGAGAAGATTTTTCTTTTCTTTATTCTTTTTCCTTGGAATAAGGTTTGGAAGAGGGGGCCCCCTTCTTGAAATTCTTGGAATAAGAGGGATCTTTGTTAGGAAACACTTTTCCTAGAGATGCAAGATGATTAATTATATGTGTAAATCTCTTTTGCATGTCTTGTATGCTTTCATTTTGATTCATTCTAAATAATTCATATTCATGAGTGAGAGTGTTTCTCCTAAATCTTTTAACATCATTAGTGCCTTCATGTGTTATTTTTAATGTATCCCACATTTCTTTTGCACTTGTACAATTTGAAATTCTAAAATATTCATTTATGCCTAATGCAGAAGTGATTATATTTTTGGCTTTCAAATTGTATTGAACTTTTCTTTTGTCATCATCACTCCATTGATCTTTGGGCAGATTTTTAATTTCATTTCCTACTACAATAGTGGGAATGAAATGACCATTTTCAATAGAATCCCATATTTTAAATCTATGGCTTCTATAAAAATTTACATCCTAGATTTCTAATAATGATACCTTTCACCATTGAATATAGGAGGTTTATTAATAGAGTTTCCTTCGGGAAATAAAAAATTTGATGAGGCCATTTCAATTCTTGAAGCTTTTAAGCCTTATACAAGAAACCTGCTCTTGATACCACTTCTTAGTCACTTAGCCTCAATTAACTTAAGAGGAGGGGTGAATTAAGTTTTCTAAATTTCCCTCTTATAAAAACTTTTTTGAATTACTTTCTTACAACTTCAATTCCTTAGATAAATTTATATGCAAAGATTGAATGATGCAAATACTACTCCAACACAATTAAATATCAAGTAATTAAAAGTATGGGGAAAGAAGAATTGCAAACTCAATTTTATACTGGTTCGGCCAATCCTGCCTAAGTCCAGTCCTCAAGTCTCCCACTTGAGATTTCCACTATTCTTGTAAACCTTATAAGACTTGAATCCTCCAACACCTCGGAACTCCCTTTCCTTGTGTTGAGATTCAAAAACCAACAAAGAGAAAAACTCTTTCTCCTTCACAGATCCAATGATCAATTGGGTATTACAGAATGACTCTCTTTGAAGAGTAGATATTACACTTTCTAAGAACTTGATGAACTCTTTAGAATTTTTGCAAATGATTTTGGTCAAGTAGTTTTTGTAAATAGATTTTCACATTAGAGTTCGTAACCTTTCTCTGAAAAATTATAGGTATTTATAGACAATTGTTTCTTAGGCTATGTCTTTTCATGAAGAGTTGTAACTCTCTATAATTTTTCAGAAAAGGGGCTCTAGTAATCGATTACAAGACTTGGTAATCGATTACAATGGTTTAAGTTCAAAATATTTGAAATGTATCATTTAAATTCAAAATTTGAAGTTTCATCTTCTGATAATCGATTACTATAGAACATTTTAACATTTGAACCTTGAACAAAGAAGTTTTCTTTCTCTGCATCAAGTGGTAATCATTTACCAGACATATATCACCAAATTAGCTTATGAAAACTTAAGATATAGAAAGTTCCTATTTTCCAGTTAAAAATATTTTTGCTTAATCTTTTAAATACTCTTTTTTCTTTCTTTTCAAACAACTTATTCTTATATTTAAAAAGATTAAGTTTAAATTTTCTTGAAATCCTTATTTTAATGGCCAAGTGAAATTTACAAATTTTAAAAGTTCATTTTACATACTAAGCTAAGCAGTCAAGACTTATCTAGTTATTACTTGAGATCTTGCTTCTTGATCAACTTGCTTTAACTTGACCTTTATTTTCTTCAATACTTTGGTATCATCAAAACTTTGTGCATATTTTCTTCCACAAACATGATCCTTTGTCATACTTCTTTTCTCCTTACTTCAAAGAAAACTTCACATCTTCACCAACACTTTGCCCCTAATTTTATCAAGTTCTTTGTCAAGCCTTACAAGGAACATAAATACTTGATTATTTTTTTGCCTTTTAACAAATGTCCTCTGTACACTTTCAATTGTTCTCATAATGGCAAAGGTTTAGTTCTTGCCATAAAATCATCAATTCATTATGTGAGAAGAATTTTGTAGTGACGTCCCCCTCCCCTTGTATGGCATGCCATAATCTTAATTACAGACCAAATATGTGAGAAGAATCATGAATATCAAAGTATTTGTCTTTTATGGCTTCCTAAACTTCTTTAAGAGTTGGTAAGAGCATAAAAGGCTTTCCAATTGTTGGCTCCATAGAATTGATTAGCCAAGCAATGCAGAACTTTTCAGATTTCCATGACCTAAATTTGGATCCCCTTCAGCAAGTTTAGGCTTAACTTTGATAAGAAACCCAAATTCCCCTTTGCCTTCCAGAATTAGGCTAATAGTTTGTAACCTTATGTGTAAATTTTTCATTAAGACATTAAACAATGACTTAAAGAGAATTGGAAAATCCCTCTTGACTGTTGAACCAAACAAGGGGAATTCTGCCAATTTTGTCACCTCCGGTGGTCGTGGTGTTGTCGCCAATTGCTATGGTGTTGCTACGTGACAATTAGGATTCCATAGGTTTGACCATGCCACCATAAGGGAAGAAGAAAATCCCTAAATCGATATACTTAGTACTCTAATTCCATGTAAAAGTTAATAAGGAAAACTTTCACGTATTATTTGCTTATATAGAAATATTACATTAACAACTATTCCTTTATTCGAAGAATAATATAAGAAAACAAATGAAAACAACAAAAACGAATATCTTAATTTTAAAAGAGAATAAATTAAATCCTTATTTTCTCTAATAACTAAATGTCTAACCTGTAATAATTTAATTCCTACACAGATAAATCATAAACAAATAAAAATGAGGAGTTAAGCTAAGCTATATAGCACTAATTTAACTAATTCAACTTTCCCCTAACATTCACAGACGTACGATGTCACATTGTTACTTCACGAAGAAATATTTGTTAACACTATTTTCGCCTTCTTCCCATGCTGCACTTCCTTAGCCTATATACTAACTGCTCTTACAACAGGACACTACACATAGGATTGCACATTATATAACAAAAAAAATTCCAATAATTAAATGAGACTAAATTTTTCTTCATAAGTTTAGTAATTTTTATTTTCTTCCATACAAAAGCGCAACCATGGAAATGGTAATCTCAGGTCACGCTCTCCCTTTCCTTTTCTCATCCAATGCCTGTGATCAAAACAAGGTCCAAAATGTTGTCAGAGAAACTGCAAACAAACCATATTGCAGAATTTATTTAAATACTTTCGTATATAACATTTGAAATACAGACATGAAAACATTAAAAATAATAAATAAATAAATAAACACTCTAAAGCTAAATGTGCAGTTATGGACAAGAGAAATCAAAAAGGCAAAAGGAAAAAAACAAAGGGAAAAACAAAAGACAATTGAAAAAAGTATTAAAATGATTCTCCATTACGAAAAATTGGTAAATGAAGGACACAGATGATGCTTCAGTTTAGTCAAAGGCAGGAACATAGCCACTGAGCTAGCCGTAATACATATACATATCAAGTTAAAATTGATCAAACAACTTGCTGATATGTATAAAAATTGTTAGATATTTAAATCAGTACTCGAAGGTTACACCATTTTTGGTATGATCTCATAATATAACATCTTTTATAGCATACCCTAAACGGATGATATGCAAAAACCATATTCTACAAACTATGAAGAATATAATATTAACAAAAATCCTTATCTCACTAGGTGGAATTAATTAAAAAGATCAATTGACCCCAGTGAAAAGACAATTAGACCAATAGCATATTAAGACTTGGCTGTAGCCAAGGTTGCCAAACTCTTGAGTTAACCGAGTTTATATCACCATTTTAGATAAAGAAAACAAGTTAACTTTATGTCAAACTAAAGTCAGTTGTAAAAATATAAATGGTAACACTCACATTGAATGTTCAACATCTTCATGCCAAACCCATTAAAAGCATAACGCATCAAAGCTATGAAATGTAATGGTACAACCACAAACGTTAATAGAACTCATTTCCCAAAACGAAAATTGGAATGCAAAGGTTACAACCCCAAGCCACACAACATACTCCAAAAGTATCACAAACAACGAAACTATAATATGCATCATCCAAGCCTAGGAAATGCTAAAACGTAAATAAGAGTACTTGATATGGGCCCATTGCAACTGGGTCTGGAGAGGATATCTTAGTGGGCTTATAAGCAGGACAGGCCCAAGGTTTGGAGAGTTTATGAGCGTAAGAAAAAGAAAGTCAAAATCGGAGAAAAGAATGTAGCGGCTTAGCTGGCAGTTAGTTAGAATATGCCAATATAGAGGTTTGGGGAATAAGGCAAGTATCATTCTGTTATGACCTAGTGATTAGGCAGAGAGAAAATATCTCTTCTCTGACGAAGCTCCCCAAGTAGAGTCTTTGGAAGCTCCCCAAGTTTATGCTTTCTCTTGAGTTTAACAACCTTAATCGTAGCAGTTGTTGCAATTCTAATTTTTTTGTAGTACTAATATTTTGTGATAAGTACTTTTATCTAAAACAGCTAGTTTCTTCGATAGAACAATAATTTGAATATATATTATTCTATCTTACATCTTTAAAACTATCATTTGACAATATTAAGATTAAAAATTACTTGTCATTGCCACTGATGCCCAAGCAATTATTAGTAGTATATAGAATGAATACCTTACTCTGGAAGATTCGCATGGTTAATACAAGTGTGTCACGAATTCTACAAAGAAAAGAGTAATGAACACTGTTAATCATGTCTGTAAAATTCAGTAACATCCAAATTTATATTTGCCGTACAGGAAATTGAAATCAAATTGTATGAGTAAGAATTTCATTATTGCAATCACTGAGCAGAACAAATATCAAAGGATGAAAGTGAAATAACTTTAGAACAATAGGAATATATTGTAAAAGAACTAGGAGCTACACAAGGAGCTAGAAAGATGAAAGAGAATTATCAGTATATTCACATTGCAAAGTAATTGTATTTTTGTCAATGACATCACATTAACAGCAGGAAAAAAGACACTTTATACCTCAATTAAAAGAAAACAAAATAATTAGGCAGTTGGTATCAATGAAGTGACAGTTAACTTTCATATACACATTTTTTTCCTTTCTATTTTATCCTAAAGTGATGCATTAGTTGGGGGGAAGTTGGAATATAATAAAAGGGTATAAATGTCTTTAAAAAAAAGTGGATAACAAAAGAAACGCATTCCCTTTTTTATATTGTCATATATTGTAATTATATATATAGATGATAACTAGTGGTTTACCTAATGATTCATCCACTTGGAGCAAAATGCAAGTCAGGCAGCATGAAGGCATTTTTAGAGTGTCACCGATGATATTTTACCAAATCATTCTAACGTTAAAGCGAAACACAGCCAATATTATTACCTGACGCTATATGTGCTTAGAGGATGAGAAGACCCATTCGAGCATGTTAACACAAATTGTGTTGAAAGGCCACATGGAACCTTAATCTGAGGAAAATACATAAAAGAAACGTGATGTAAGTCTAATAATGTCTGGCTGAAGAAATTTCAAATCAGAAAACCAGTTATCTTAATGATGTTAATACACCAAATTGAGTCTCTCAACCTATGTTCATGTCAAGCTATCAATAATTTGTCATATTTATGCAAATATTTTCACTAGTGATTTTTCAGACAAGCTATTACTTTGGTAAATCCAATAACCAGCATTCTATCCAATTACAAGACAGAATGAGAACTTCTAGTCCTCTTATACATAGGCAATACCTTGTTTATCTTAAGTCCCTGAAAGTGTTGGTATATACAATTTGGTTTGTGGATGTGTTAACTTGATCATATTTTAATCTTTTTGGAGACTAATTAGTCCTCAAAAGTGAAAATCTGTACAATTTGATCCCCAAATGTATTCATTTTGCTTACAATTATATATTTGTGATGATGAGAAAGCACTAAAATGTGATCAAGTTAACACATCTGAGGACTAAATTCTACACACAAACACTTTCAGCGACCAAAAATAAACATGATGTCACTTTCAAGGGATCATATTCTATATTAACTCAGCCCAACTCGTTTAGATATTAAAGAGTTTAAAGGAAAGTAAAATGTCAAGAGAGAGAACCCTTCACGTATAAAGTACCATCAATAGTTCTAGGTTATACTTATAGTAAATGTATGGCCATAGTTAAGAACCCTGGATTACAGCACAAAGCAATCAACCACTAAAACACAAAGTGTCGGATTAAAAGTTTATTTCCAAAAATTTAAACATGGGAATGTGATCTTCCCATGTTTGTTATGTGATTTGAAAAATAATTTCCAAGTATTGTTAATTCCTGGGAAAGTTATCATATCAACGTCTTCCTACACTTTATTCCTGTAATGGGGGCGTGGGGAAGTGACATTCTCATGTAAATAAGTAAAGTTGTTTTCTAACACACTTGTAACTTCCTTTTTATTAACATTTTATTTAAATTATTTAAAATTTTTAAAAAATGTTTCTAGGAATATTAGTGCATAACCAAACATGTTTTTAAATATACCTAGGACTAGGAATAACATTCCAATTAAAATATTCTTGGGAATGTGATCCCTGGGAATGCAATATGAAACCTTAAAACAAACACGCCACAAATTTGGTTCTAGAGGGAGGATTGCACTTGACAGTAGAGGAATTATATTCATTGTGCTAAAGATCTGATTTTATTTTATGTAAACAAGGAAACATGGCAATATTATACAGCTAGAAATTAGGGATTTTATTCATTAATTGTATCCTTAATTTTAAATATAAATAAAGCATCATGTGTGTGGTGGATTGTTAGTGTATATGGGTTACAACAAAAAGGGAATATTTGTTTGTTAGTCCTTTTTTGCGTTTTGCATTCTGTGATCTCTTTAGGATATCTTCATAATCTTTTAGTGGACAGCTGTCCTGCCACCTCTCTTGTTTTTCTCTCTCCGCTGGTTGCTTCTACAACCGTTTTCTCTCTTTTCTCTAGTTGCTGTATTTAGAAAAGGTTCTCTATATATTAAACACTCCTTGTATTCTTTCTACAGCAACAATGATAATAAAGCTCCAGAACAAAGAACCAGCAGGGAAGCCAAAACGTCAAGGAACTGTCGCTCATGAGAGAAAAACGTAAGGAAAAACAAAGGGAGGCTACTGTTCACATAGTCACATCAGACCCCTCTTGTTAGTGGCTACCAAGTCAGCCTTAACCTAGACCTAAACCTAAAACGAAATTGGGCCCCTCTACCATACAAGTTGACCCAATAATACAATAAAATAAAATACAGATTGCAATTAAATGCTGAGGTGGAAAAAATGGTGCAGTGGTGACATGGAAGATGACGTGGCAGCTACTCTTGAAGTCCAAAAATTAATTCCAAGCCCAATTAATTATTAAACTGCCTTGAAAATAAAAATTTGGAATAATTAGATTCAGAAAATTCAAATTAGTTAAAATATGAATTACTGGTCCAATTAAAGCCCAAATAGAAAACAGTGCAGATAATCAACAATTAAGCGCAAATCAGAGATTAAAATAAGTACAGAAAGGTAAGAAAATAGGGGAAAATAATGACTCATCA